CTAGGTTGTGTTTTGTAAGTAGTGTAGAACATAAAATCTTCTATTTCACTCTGTATTTCCCATTTCAGTTTTATCAATGTCTTATCAAGAATAACTTGCAACCATCTCTAATTAATGTCAATGAACTTGATTCCTGAAAACGAAACAGAAAAATAATTAATCATCACTTTTCCCAGTATTTAAAAAAGTTGATTGATAAACAGTACTCAATCTTAGACCATAAGCCATCATCATTTTGTTATTCACTAAGCAAAGTTTAACTTGTGACCAATGATACCATCTATCTGTTCCTACACCCATTTTGGGATAAATATTTTTTATTTATCCCATTAAATAAAACCCACTATTTTTATAATGGCATAAATGCTACGTGGGATCTCAATATCTCAGCTCAGGAAGGGTCTAGAGCCTCCATTTTTGCACTCAGGTCCAAGTCTCATGGCCCTCTATCAGAATCCAGAGTTTTGAGAAGATTGGAGAAACTCAAAATTTCACCCCCGAAAAAAACCAAAAGGGGTACCCCTGTCGTTTTTTTTTTCGGGGGGTTAAATTTTGAGTTTCTCCAGCTGTACACCTGTTTTGAGCTGATGTCCATTGGAATGGACAAAAAAAAAATCACAATGAAAGCAATTATACATATAAAAAAATTCATTTGTTTTCATTTATAGAAACTTCATGAGCTGGGAAAATGTACTTTTATATTTTTCAGAAACTTGAAACATAATTCAGGTCTGAGGGGGTTAAATTGAACGTAGCCATATGTGTCTGACATTAATACTGTTGTCATAACAACATAATATAGCATTAATTGTAAGCAATCAGAATTAATTGGCTATGTATTTAATTCAGTCTGGACTAAAAAGACTATTATATCCAGTTTTATTTTACATTGGATTACTTTATTCATTTTTTTTTCTGACAAACTACCCAAAAATGTCTCTTTATTTGTGTCTTTATTCTATTGTATTTATTTGTGCTACTTTTTTCAATTTAATTCAAAGATTGAAATCAAGCTTCCATGTGTTGCATAAACTCTTAACAAAAAAATTACCCCATTGTAAAAACAAACATTTAGGTAAGATCAATGTAATAAAAAATGTCTAAATATTTATATATTTATTATCTAAATCTATCTTAAACATAAAATAACCTGATCCTGTTTGATCAATTTTCAGCATCAATTTTGCATCTTGCATCAAACAGGCATGTGATTGGCTAAGGACAAAAAAGCAGGAAAATATACCGTAAAAGTATAAAAATATACAAATCTCAGATAACGGTTGACTAGGTAACAATGTGTAATTAGACCAAAGGTTCATTTTGCGCCGGAGTTCTCCTTTAATAATAATAATGTCTAGTGCGGTCCGTTGTCATGATGTTTGGACTTATCGCGAGAGGAAAAAAAAGACATTCTAGTCGCATAACGTCGGTTAATGGAAACACCAACATTTCGCAATAGTTTTTTATCGACATTTAGAAAATATCGCAAAAGTTTTGCACAAATCTGTAATGGAAACATGCCTAGTGATGTCATGTGACCCGAACGAATAAAAGTGAATTTTGCATCCGACGACCCCTTTAAGTCTGACTGTTGAACATTAAATCAAAAAACGAACACTTTTTAAGTCGCAAATAATGTGTTACCTGTGAGAATTCTGCACTGTTTGCTGGTTAAATGGCGAGTGTGTGAGTAACGCATGACCATCTCCTGCAGGATCATGGGCCTGTACGCGTCGGTGGTGCTGGTGATCGGGAAGTTCGTCCGCGAGTTCTTCAGTGGCATCTCTCACTCCATCATGTTCGAGGAGCTCCCGTGTGTGGACCGAATCCTCAAGCTCTGCACTGACATCTTCCTGGTGCGAGAGACGGGCGAGCTGGAGCTGGAGGAGGACCTGTACGCCAAACTCATCTTCCTCTACCGCTCACCCGAGACCATGATCAAGTGGACCAGGGAGAAGACCAAATGAGGACGAGTCCACATTAGAGGAACCGACGACCTCGGCTGGACCCAAAGAGTCCTGGTTGAGATTTAGACGTTGAGAAACATGCGATCAGGATCGAGGTTTAACTGCGCTCTAGCGCCACCTGTCTGTTAGGAGTCTCGATAACGTGCGCTGTGCAATATACTGTCCCGGAGGCTGACCGTAAACTTGAACAAAGGAAGGAGAGTGAAAGACACACGGCACTTTTCCCTCAGAGAGAACTGGATGGAGCGGAGGACTGGAGCGTTCTCACTGTACTGGCTCTGTGGTGTGATGATAAAACACAGTCTGGAAACCCATTTGCCTGTTTTTTTCTTGCATTTTGTACGAGTCAATACAATATTCACTGTAATAATAGGCATCGAAAATATGCAAAAACAGAATCATTTTTATTTATTCATTGGTATTCTGACACCATGCAATCACAGTAAACAATAATTTAGGTCCTCATTAATAACAGAAATTGTTCCCCGCAATTTCAAAGCACATCGACTAAAACAAAACTAAGATGTGTTCAGATTATCTTAAGGCATTTCATGCATCCGGCTTCATGTTCTGGTGACGTCTCGTATAATGGGTTCATTGAGTTCATGTTTTGTAGTAAGGCAGGCACTGTTATTCAATATTCATATGATAGAGTATAATTGCAGTCCAGCACAGTTCTGAACATCAGATTCTCTCCCTTTACAGTAAAGGCTGTTCTCTCAGGTTTGCCTTTAATCTCCCGAAACTTGCGTTCAAGGCAAACCCAACGCTAACGTTCATTTTAACAAACCTGAATAAACACACATGCTTGAGGAGTTGTTGAGAGGCCTAACACAGATCTCCAGTACAGGAATATAATCAGATCGTGGTCACGCATGCGTTCTCGGCAGCAGAAGTGTGTGTTTAACACAGTCCTCCAGCGTACTCGTCCTCGTCCTCCTCCGGCTGCGCGGCTCCAGCGTCTCCGCTAGCGCTAGCGGCGGGCTTCTTCTTCTTCCCTCCTCCGGGCACCTGCAGGCTGAGGGCCAGCTTGGCGTACTGTAGGACAGGTGAGAACACACACATCAGTGTGGAAAACACACACATATACACACACATCAGTGTTGAGAAACATCAGAGAATCATTATTAGAGCAGCACAATTAATCACGTTGTGATATCCATCTGAACACCAGAGGGCGTCACACATACACTATCGGTCAAAAGTTTTAGATCAGTAAGATTTTTTCTGTTTTTATATGAAGTCTCTTCTGCTCACCAAGGCTGCTTCCTTTGATGAAAAAAAAAAAAGACAAATAGTAATATTGTGAAATATTATGACAATTTAAAATGACTGTTTTCTATTTTAATATATATTAAAATGTAATTTGAAAGCTGAATTTTCCACATTGCTGATTACACATTAGTTTTCAGTGTCACATGATCCTTCAGAAATCATTCTAATATGGTGATTTTACGCTCAAAAAACATCAATTATTATTTTCAATGTTGAAAACAGTCGTGTACCATTTCACCCCAAAAAATTCTATGATGAATAGAAATTCAAAAGAACAGCATTTATTTAAAATATAATCTTTTCTAATATTATAAATGTCTTTACTGTAACTTTTGATCAATTTAACTCATCCTTGATGAATAAAAGTATTTTCTAATTTCTTTCCCCCAAAATAAAAAAAAATAATTCTTACTGACCCCAAACTTTTGAATGGTAGTGATTAATGTTACAAAAGCTTAATTTCCATTTCAGATCAATTCTGTTCTTTTGAACTTTCTATTCATCAAAGAGTCCTGAAATAAAAATGTAAAAAAACAATATAATAATCATAAATGTTTCTTGAGCATCATATTATAATAATATCTGTAGGATCATGTGACACTGAAGACTGGAGTAATGATGTTTTGATCACAGGAATAAATTACACTTCACTATATATTCACATAGAAAACTGCTGTTTTAAATTGTTTTTTTTTTTTTTGGTATTTTTTTTATCAAATAATCGCAGCCTTGGTGAGCAGAAGAGACTTCTTTTAAAAACATAAAACATCTTACCGATCTAAAACTTTGGACCGGTAGTGTATCTATCTGAACACTAGAGGGCGTCACACACACGCCACACCACTGAGGTACGATATAACACGCATTCCAGGAAACCCCATCTCTGTAAGTGAATAAACAGAGGATTGAAACGCTCTGATGAAACTTGAGTAATAAACACACGACTGCCTTATTCTGTGTGTGAAGCGCATCATCATCTCACAGGACGAGCTCAGCTGGCGTTGGAGTAAGAGCATGTTATTAAAGTCTTTAGTTGGACAAGAGGCTCATGAATGCGTCTCGCGTTTCTTTCTCAAATGCACGTAATAAGCGACTCAAACAGTGTTTACTGAGCCGTGCTTCACTGACACGCTGCACGTTAAACAATCACCGTCTATACCGGTTCAGAATCAACATTTATGTGCGATTACATAGAAATTGCGATTAATCGTGCAGTGCTACATCACTGTGAAATCATGAGCTCACTCACAACTCCTGCTACACACTCGGCACGGCCCGACCCGACACACACCAGGATGTTAAAAAGGTCATTACATGTTTTAAAGATATGCTAGCAAACAAATGCGACCTTGACTAACATTAAAGGAGGGAAATAAAACACAGAAGGGAGGAAGACGAGTCTTTTGCCTTGTCCACACACACACACACACACACACACACACCAGAGAGTGAGTGCAAAGCCCTTAATGCACACTCTCCAACACTGCTTCAGAGCTAAGCGTATCCCATCATGCATTTAGGGATGGGTAACGATTAATCGCGATTAATTGCATCCAAAATAAAAGTTTATGTTTACATAATTTATGTGTGTGTAGTGTGTATAATTATTTTGTACATATAAATACCCACACATGCATGTATATATTTAAGAAAAATGTGTTATTAATATATCAAATATTTATATTTATACATAATATTAATTATGTATAAATATATATATAAAGTATATACATGCAAATATTTCTTAAATATATACAAGCATGTGTGTGTATTTATATATAGAAAATAATTATACACACCACACATACACATATTATGTTAACACAAACTTTTATTTTGGATATGATTAATCGCGATTAATCGTTGCCCATCCCTACTCGCATGCCACAAAAATCGCGAGATGTCGAGGAAAACATTTCACTGTAATTTCAATGAATTAAATGCATATAATTTGGTAGTAAAAACAAATTGTTGCACATTTTATTGCTGCAAAGAGGAGCATGGTGTGTGTGTGTGTGTGTGTAAGCCTATTTTGTACAAAATTTGCAACTGTTTTTTATCACTTAATTAGAAGCACCACGATTTAAAATGTGTGTCTTCTGTTAGTTGCATTGCGACTACTGAACAGACACGGAGAAGATTACTTTAAAATGCAAAATACTGAAAATATAATAAATAATAAAAGCTCTTATCTGTAAACACTTGCATTTTTAGCAAGAGTATAAATGTGTCCCATCGAGTAATCTAACGTTCTACACACACTTGCAGTCGAACACTTGGGCCAAATAGAGGAATACGTGTGTGTGTGTGTGTGTGTGTGTGTGTGGACAAGGCATTTCTCTACTCTACTACGCAGATGTTGTCACTGATGTCATACCTGCCACCATCCTGGAAGTGTGAATCAAACACACACGAGACATGAGAAGATCAGAAAGGAACGAACCCAAGGGAATTGTGCTCTGACAGACAGACATATGATTAATAATAATAATAAACTAGAATGTCAGAGGTTTATGTGCTTTTTTTCAATTAGCGGTAAAATAAAGTTTCCAAATTTACGTTTATCATCCACTGGTCAATTTTGAGATTTTGCTTCCATCTTCCTTCGGACTAGTGGAAAGAAAAGTCTCGAGTGTTCGTTGTCCATGTACCACAGCAGGGGTGAGATGTACAATACACACACCAGTGTTGGGTAAGTTACTCTAACAAAGTAATTAATTACCACTTCAACAGTGTCATTAGATTACTGTACTAATTACTCTCTCTAAAAAGTATTTAATTACTAATTACTTTCAAAATCCCATATCAATCTCAACCAGCTGAATAATACAAGGATAGACATGAATCTGTTTTAATTCTTTCAAATAAATACTATAAAACTGCATGAATTATCCTTAAACTGACGAAGGTTACATTATAAAAACATACTTTTTAATATCAGACAATACATTTTGATGTTAAACCCACTATTGTTTTATGTCTGATCTCATGACAATTCACACTATTTCAATACATATTTTACAATAATTCATATGAATTTGTACGAGTGCGGTCGTACAATTTAGACACCTCATAAAATGCAAACGAATCACTGTGAGATCAGATTGATCTATACACAGTATTTACCTCAATTACATCAGAAGTAACTGTAATTAAATTACAGATCAATGAAGAGGAATCCCTTACTTTACATTTTCAAGGGAAAAGTAATTAAATTACAGTAACTGATTACTTAGTAATTAGTTACACCCAACACTGACACACACACATGTAGAGTGTGAGACTCACGTCGTTGTCCATGTAGCGCAGCAGGGGTGAGGTACACACGCGGGTCACCTGATCTTCATCTTGCTCGTCGTAACCCTGCAGGAGTTGCTCCATGGCGATGCAGTCCTCGCTCCCGCTGAACCCTGGGATACTGTAGCTCTCGCGCACACAGCGGTCCGCCGCCACATAGTCCGCGCGGTGGAGGTGCACCAGCACCTGGGCGATGGTTTTCTGTCACACACACACACGCACACACACACACACACACACATCACTCACTGCAGACAGTGTTTCATCTAGTGTGTAAAATCTTTAGTAATCAAAAAGCAGTCTAATTAAATGAAACCATAAAACTTATTAAACTTATACAACATTTAATGTTTTTTTTCTTTACTAATTCAGTGTTGTGTTGTTTCTGACAATCAAATGAAGACGTAAAATATTTTAAATCATATGAGATTAAACTTGAGCTTTACTGTTCAAATTAAAACATGGAAGAAAATTGTTAAAACAAAAATTGTGATTATTTCTTAATCGAGGAAACACAGCATCTATTATCTATTATATATATATATATGAAGACAGACGCACCTTAAAACAGGTTGGATAATTTTCTATTTCTTTATACATGTTCTTCTCCTTCTGCAGCGACACGGCAGCTTCGTCAAACCTGGAGTCAGCATCAGAAACTTCAGTAAATAATACGCTAGACAACCCAAAATAACAAAGGAAACTCTGAAAAATAATTGCTAGGATTAAAAAAAAAATAAGAATAGGGAAAAAAAAAAATGAATTTTACAGTTTATTGTTGTTTTAAAGGTGCAGTGTGTGATATTTAGGCGGATCTGTTGTCAGAACTGTGTGTTCAGTGGTGTATAAAGAGCTTACATAATGAACCGTTATGTTTTTATTACTTTAGATTGAGTGTTTATCTCTACACACACCGCGGGTCCGCTTACATCCACGTTTCTACGGTGGCCCTGAGCGGACAAACGCGTTTCGTCACTATGTTGTTCTTCATGATAAGAAGCTGCGAATAAAACACTCACACAATGATGAACAAGTGAATATAATATATCGTTTTATTGAATAATTTAGAGTGGTAATATAATGCCATTTTTATACAAGTTAATTTGATTCGTTATGATCTAAATGAAAAGTTTGTAATATATTTTAATTAGAAATTCTCATTAGTATTGTAAGAAAACACTCATTTTGCCGTAACTTCTGGGTGTGGTTCACATCGTCACCACTAGATGCCGCACTGCAGCTTTAAGTGTTTATATTTCACCAACAAACTGGAGTAGAAACCATTCTGTTTTTCTTACGCGCATTTTACATGTTTAGTTTACAATTTGAGTGTTGATTATTAATAAGTTTGATTAATTAATTGATTTTTATGTATTTCCGGTTTTGTTTTTGGCCAAAACTTTACAATACGTATACATCAGTTATCATGAAGTCATAATGAGAAGAACTTCTACAGCATTTATAAACCTTAGTTTAATAAAACATTTTAGTTGTATGAGTTGATATTAGTGACGCACTGTGAACATGAAGACGAGTGTTTATCTTGAACATAAATTAGATGTATTTCTCTTTGATAGTTCATGTTAGTTAATGACTGAGATCTTACTTGTGTTGTCGAACCAGAAGTCGTGATGCTTTGCCGATGAGCTCCACAGCCTGTCTCAGTCGCTCCTCGTTCTGAGAACACACACGACAGAGCGTGTTAGTTGAAGTAGTGTGTGTGTGAGGAGTGTGTGTGTGTGTGTGAGCCTGACCTCGAACACTCCTGCCGCCTGCTGGTACAGATGAACGGCTTTGGCCAGATCCAGAGGCTCGATCAACCTGCGGACGACAGAGTCAGAGTCAGTCCTCCTCACTGGCGTAGAGTACGAGAGTGTGTGTGTGTGTGTGTGAGGGTGTGAACACACACTTCCCCGCTCGGTCCAGGGCCATGGCAGCCGTGTCAGGAGTGCCGTTCTCCACGTACATCATGCTGGCCTTCTCGATGAACTCGATCGCTTCTGGTAATCTCTGCATGTCCTACACACACACACACACACACACACACTGTTTAATAGGCAGTTCAGCCAAAAAATTGCAATACAAATACTTCAGCTAAAATACTTGCTCAAAACAATCACTTCAGCAAAGTTTGTGCTATTTTCTGTTTATTTTGATAAATAAAATGATACATTTTTGATAATACAGAAATGTTCATTTTAAAAATACAGAAACAGAATTATTTTTTAAAAAGTTTCTGAAAGCACTGAATGAGATCCCATTAAAAAATTATATAGTTTGTTTTACAGTAGTAACAAATAAATATGACATTTTATTATATATGATAAATACCATATTTTTAATATGGTGTCATTATAATTATTATTATTCCCATCTGAATCTAACCATGACATGTCAACAAATGGAAAATTCTCATTTGCTATATAAACAAATAAGGCTTAAAATAAATACATTTTAATATATATTCATTTTTCAGTAGAATAAATATTTAAGTCAAAAGCAAATGCACTGACCTTCAGCATCATTCCTGCTTGCTCATAAGCCCTGCATACAGAAACATGTTCATAACAAGCAGTATATTCATACACACACACACACACACACGATTAAAGCAACAGATGTCAGTAATCATGAGAGTACTTACTTGGCAGCGTGAAAAAGCCTGAAGAATGAGTCAAGGAAGAAGGCAGCGGTGATTTGCAGATTAAAATACTGCCTATGATGGGCTAATAAATCAATATATCAATATAAAAACAAATCCAGCAGGAAAGAACACCAACACCAGGCTGAAGGATACGATCTGTGGTTGGTGTGAGCCTCGGCCTCCTGTAAATAAGCCTCTTTCGCCTGTTCCAGTTGTTTGGCATTTTTGAAGGCAACAGCTAGAGAGGAAAATCATCATCATCATCATCATCATCGTCAGAGACACCTGAGAACAGTACAGCAGTCCTTATGTTTGTTTGTTTGTGTGTGTTTAATATCACCTGCTTTGGAATATTCTGATGCAGCACTGTCATAATCGGGCTTCCACTTCATAAAGCTCGTCTTTAAACTGAATTTAATGAGAATTAATGATCAGTTATCTTTCATTATAATCCAAGCAAGTCAAACATGACAACAAGGGCTATACCTGTGACATTTAAGGCATTTCTCCATCATAAAATATCATGTATAATTTTAAATTTGTATAAAGAGACTTTAACCATCAATTTGCCGGAAAACGAGACGTAATGCTAATTTCAAACCACTAACGTTATAGTAAATATTTCAAGCATTTATCGTCGGGCATTACTTACTATTTTTCAGCCTTGGCGATGTGTTCGTGAGCTTCATTGATTTTTTGCGCCATGGTGTATTAAATAAGCTTTATACACATTAATGACTACTACTAATAATAATAAATAAATAAAAGACTGTTTGTTGCAGCTCAAACCCTGTGTGTGTTGCTGTCACCTGATGATAATGGCGTTTACTTCCGGGTAACTAGGAGATCGACGTCATTCTTTGTTTATTTTGCTTTAATTATTTTTACTGTTCAGATTATTTTATTGTTGATTATATTATGATGTGTGTTTGTTTTTCTGTATGATCCCGTTCTCAGCTATTAAAAAAAAAATCTCGACGTCACAACCGTGCGGCTGTAATGCGTTTGACGGTTTAGAGACGCATTTATATCTCACTATATCAACTTTTTTGGTCTCACAGCGGGGTATTTGTAATAAAACTTCAAAAGATGTTTGCCTGACATGTGGAAATTTTACCCAGCAATCTCTTAAAAAAACGCTTTAAAAGTCCTTGCCAGCGATTGTGATACTATGACCATCTAATCATACATAGATGGAGTATTAGATGCCGTGTCAACCGTAAACCGTCCGCCATATTGGAGCGGTCAGTGCACATTCGACAGCGAGTTAACTGAGCATCTACAACTTGTATGAATATATATATATATATATATATATATATATATATATATATATTAAACAGACTTCAGCAATTATTTTGCTACACTATCAAAATATAACAAGACGAAGGCGTCAGCTGACATTATTAAGTTACCATTGTAACAAATGTAATATCGAGTTCATACATTTAAAATACAAACCAACACATTCTCACCTGTGTCTCAAATACTTTGAGAATTTAAATCTTGGCGGGTTTCACAACCAGAAACTGCGGTATGATGTAGCATCTTTGGTTATTTTTATTTTTAATCTTTATTTTTTACTCTTTATTATAGAGTGACGACACGCCGACCGTCGCAACATGGCGACCGCGCCTGCGTGACAGGATGAGGTATCTACGTATAAATATCTATGCCTCTGGCTGGTCCAGCGTTGAGAAAAGTAACAGGTAACACGTGACAATAATAATGAACGTTCCGCTTCACGGACTAGAAATTTATAACCGAATAACAGTGATCAACTCCAAAAGCAAATCGACTAAAACAATTGCAAAGTGAAGAATGAAAATAAGGATTATTTAGACATATCGGAACTGACCAGACAGTATTTTAAATGCTAGCAGTGGAACCTTTTGCCGCCCCCTGTTGGCTAAAAGAGGCATTACAAACCACATTATAATCATTCTATGAACTATAAGCAGCAAGTATTTACCCTGGTATTTACATGAATATTTTTTTTCTCATTATCTATGTTTAGGCAATCAAACCCATTTCGTGTATAATATTTAATGTCACATTGTCTCAATTGTGCTCATATTCAAATCATTTTACCAACAAGTATTGGAAAACTAAATTTACAGTCTCCTTCCATTAACCATGTTCACGTTCATGATTTTTCTTATATAAGTCAGCTTAACTTCATGTTTCTGATGCATGTACACTTCCTATAAAGACAGGCGGTGTACGTACAAAAAGTACACAAACAATTAAAAATACCAGAACATATTACATCGTTGGCATTTCTTTAATAAACATTTGCCAAAGGGGGGAAAACATCTTCAAAAAAAAAAAAAAAAAAAAAAAAAAAAAAAAGAAAGACATCGTTGCTAATCTCCTTGAAAATCATTTAAATGTCTCTTTAACTTTCAATTTTACAATGGCTATAGACAAGAGCTGGTGGGGAACCGGTGAGAAAACACAGCTTTGATCCGTTCACTCGTTCAGTAGATACACCAGTTCAATCGGCCAATCACACACACAAGTGCTACCAGTCATTCTGGAGTCTTTCTAAGGCCCTCCAGTGATTTTAACCTTGCGACAGAGCTCATAATCGTTCAATCATTGGGAAGGAAGAAAAAAAAACGACTAAAGGGAAAGAAAAAAATAAAATAAATTGAATTACTGGTCATTTACATGTGCAGATACAGCACATTACTCCACGCTCGTTCCCAGCTACTTTTATTCAGTAGTGCAAAACGTTGTAATACTAGTCTGTCCTTACGCAATTAAAGGAATACAGGTCATAAAAACACTCAAAAAAAAGTACAATTTTAATTTAAAAGACAGCAGTAGAGAATAGATTACAAAAAAAATCAATTGGAGGAAAAAAAACAAAAAAAGCTCTATGAAACGGTACGAGTGGGAAATCCCCAAAAAATTCCCATCCCATCCCAAACAGTTCGTCCCTCCAGTCGTACAACCCCCGAATTACTCCGAAGCATCACGTTCTGAGAGCGTTTAGTGCTGGTTTTGAGGGCTGTCTTTTAGAGTCTTAGACGCGTGCGTATTCATCGTCGAGTTCGTTAATCCCGGTTTAAAACGGGAGTCCTCTGCCCCGAAGCGCCGCGTTCACGTGAGGAACGAACCCGAGCGGAAGCGCCCCGGATTGGGACGGGGAAGTCCAGGCTTGGCCCGGTGGAGCCGGGGGCCCGGGGCCGACGACGTGGTGATTGTACTCGAAGCGATGGTCCTTGTCTCCGCTGAACACCCCGGTGTCGGGCCCGAGGGGGGGCCGGGGGGGCATCATGTGACCGAGGTAGCTGGCGTGAGGGAACGGAGGCGGGGGCCGGCTGTAGTCCGCGGGTCGGGGGGCGTCGGGGGGGCCCGGCTGGGGCTCGGGGGCCTGTCGGTAGTCCAGGTCTGCGCAGGGAGGCGGTTCTGGAGGTTCTGGCGGGCGCTGGTCCGGTGGGAGAATGGAGAACGGCTCCTGGGGCCTGGAGGACGAGACGCCCCCTTCAGACACTGCGTGGAACAACAGGCATTAGGGCAAGACACCTCTATTTATAAAGCGCTTTCTACAATACAGTGTTTCAAAGTAGCTTTACAGAGATAACAGGAACATAATACAGTGTGTTATTTCAGGACTATCAAGCACTATTTTTGGGGTTTAAGGACTCACCTATCAAACAATATCTTTATTATCAAAATAAAGTAAATAGATACACAAAAATAAACTGGAACAAATAAAGTGCAGCACATGCAAAGTATGCAATGACTGGAAACTTTTATCATTGAAAGGATACTATGACAAAGATATCACTTTCCTTTAACCTTTTATTACACTTTGAATGTGTTACCATTTAAAGGTGCAGTGTGTGATATTTAGGAGGATCTGTTGACGGAAGTGCAATGTCATAAACATAACTGTGTTCAGTGGTGTATAAAGACCAAGCATAATGAACCGTTATTTTTATTAGTTTAGATTGAGCGTTTCTCTCTACACACAATCATCATCCTTTTAAACTCATTTTTGACCCCTAAAATGACAAATCCGAGCATTTTATTCTTCATGCCTTAAAATATCTTAAATGTAACTCGACACCCTCGCCTCATTTAGTATGAGTATGCAAGTTAGCCCCGCCTCAGCTCACTCACAGCAGCAGCTCAGAGATCCACTCATTGGTTTTCATCATAAGACCTGCTGAAATGATCTCATGACTTTTTGAATCTGGAACGTAACTCAAAAGAAGGAGTGTGTGATATCAGACATGTGTATGATGACGAGATTACCTGGAGATACGGGGCTGGGCTCAGGTGGAGGCTTGACCTCAGGTAGGCCTGCTGTGTTTGACAGGACTCCATCTGCGCTCTCGAAGCCCATGATGTCCCCCGGCGCCCCCTGCTGGACCTTTAGCAGCTGTGCGAGGAGCATGGTGACCGCCGTCTGCGTGGCGGAGGCCGACACCTCTCCGTCGGGCTTCCCCGGCGCCGGCGGAGAAGGGGGTTTGGGCATTGGGGGGGTGCGGGCCCCCGATGGAGGCGGCGGGGGAGGTTTGGAGACCGTGGGGGGCAGGGGGGGTTCTGGGGGGCGTTCAGACTCCGGTGGTCCAGCGGGTAAAGCCTTCGTCAGCTGCTGCAACGTCTCCGGGTTCATCTTCGATCCCATAGTCTGGGCGAACTGGGCCGATCCCACCGGGCCGCTTTTGGACTGGAAGAGGTTCAAGAGCACAGCCAGCTGTTCTTGAGTCAGTTGGGAGTTGGGAGCTTTGGGGTCTAGAAGAAAACCAGCAGGGATGCTTGAATGGTTTGTAAATAATAGGCTATAAAATAATATTGTTTTAAATTAAATTATTCTAAATAAAGTACTAAATTAGACTCCTACAGTGTTGTCAAAAGTACTGACTATGGTAATGAAATTTAAATTTGTGACGACACCAGCATTTTGAGCGCTTTGGAATGGATTCTTAAACACCTCTGATTGGCCATTTTGTTCACAAGCTCAACTCATAGGTTGGTTGATTGGTTACAATGACAACCGAGATCTTACAGTGTGACATTAATGACAACCGAGATCTTACAAAGAGACATTAATGACAACCGAGATCTTACAGCGTGACATTAATGACAACTGAGATCTTACAAAGAGACATTAATGACAACCGAGATCTTACAGCGTGACATTAATGACAGCTGAGATCTTACAGAGCGACATTAATGACAACCGAGATCTTACAGCGTGACATTAATGACAACCGAGATCTTACAGAGCGACATTAATGACAACTGAGATCTTACAGAGCGACATTAATGACAACTGAGATCTTACAGAGCGACATTGACAACCGAGATCTTACAGTGCGACATTAATGACAACTGAGATCTTACAGCATGACGTTAATGACAACTGAGATCTTACAGAGCGACATTATGACAACCGAGATTTTACAGCATGACCTTAATGACAACTGAGATCTTACAGAGCGACATTAATGACAACTGAGATCTTACAGCGTGACATTAATGACAAATGAGATCTTACAGAGCGACATTAATGACAACTGAGATCTTACAGTGCGACATTAATGACAACTGAGATCTTACAGCGTGACATTAATGACAACCGAGATCTTACAGCGTGACATTAATGACAACCGAGATCTTACAGCGTGACATTAATGACAGCTGAGATCTTACAGCGTGACATTAATGACAACTGAGATCTTACAGCGTGACATTAATGACAACCGAGATCTTACAGCGTGACATTAATGACAACCGAGATCTTACAGCGTGACGTTAATGACAACTGAGATCTTACAGAGAGACATTAATGACAACCTAGATCTTACACCGTGACGTTAATGACAACTGAGATCTTACAGAGCGACATTAATGACAACCGAGATCTTACAGCGTGACGTTAATGACAACCGAGATCTTACAGAATGACATTAATGACAACTGAGATCTTACAGAGCGACATTAATGACAACCGAGATCTTACAGAGCGACATTAATGACAACCGAGATCTTACAGCGTGACGTTAATGACAACTGAGATCTTACAGCGTGACATTAATGACAACCGAGATCTTACAGAGCGACATTAATGACAACTGAGATCTTACAGCGTGATGTTAATGACAAATGAGATCTTACAGAGCGACATTAATGACAACCGAGATCTTACAGTGTGACATTAATGACAACTGAGATCTTACAAAGAGACATTAATGACAACTGAGATCTTACAAAGAGACATTAATGACAACTGAGATCTTACAAAGAGACATTAATGACAACTGAGATCTTACAAAGAGACATTAATGACAACCAAGATCTTACACCGTGACATTAATGACAACCGAGATCTTACAGAGCGACATTAATGACAACCGAGATCTTACAGAGCGACATTAATGACAACCGAGATCTTACAGCGTGACATTAATGACAACCGAGATCTTACAGAGCGACATTAATGACAACTGAGATCTTACAGAGCGACATTAATGACAACCGAGATCTTACAGAGCGACATTAATGACAACCGAGATCTTACAGAGCGACATTAATGACAACTGAGATCTTACAGCGTGACATTAATGACAAATGAGATCTTACAGAGCGACATTAATGACAACCGAGATCTTACAGTGTGACATTAATGACAACTGAGATCTTACAAAGAGACATTAATGACAACTGAGATCTTACAAAGAGACATTAATGACAACTGAGATCTTACAAAGAGACATTAATGACAACCAAGATCTTACACCGTGACATTAATGACAACCGAGATCTTACAGCGTGACGTTAATGACAACCGAGATCTTACAGAGCGACATTAATGACAACTGAGATCTTACAGCGTGACGTTAATGACAACTGAGATCTTACAGAGAGACATTAATGACAACCAAGATCTTACACCGTGACGTTAATGACAACTGAGATCTTACAGAGCGACATTAATGACAACCGAGATCTTACAGAGCGACAATAATGACAACTGAGATCTTACAGCGTGACGTTAATGACAAATGAGATCTTACAAAGAGACATTAATGACAACTGAGATCTTACAGAGCGACATTAATGACAACCAAGATCTTACACCGTGACGTTAATGACAACTGAGATCTTACAGAGCGACATTAATGACAACCGAGATCTTACAGCGTGACATTAATGACAACTGAGATCTTACAGCGTGACGTTAATGACAACTGAGATCTTACAGTAACGTTAATGACAACTGAGATCTAAAAGTGTGACATTAATGACAACTGAGATCTTACAGCGTGACGTTAATGACAACTGAGATCTTACAGTGACGTTAATGACAACTGAGATCTAAAAGTGTGACGTTAATGTCAACTGAGATCTTACAGAGTGACGTTATTGACAAATGAGATCTAAAAGCATGACGTTAATGATAACTGCAATCTTACAGCGATGATCATGTTCATACAGTCCGACAAGTAACTATCGTAAAGGAGGATAATAAATCGCAGTGTACACCGGCTTAATCTGAGGGTGCCGTTTGTTGAGTGTGTGAGCGGTGTCTCACCCAGCAGGGCTGCAGTGTTGGCAGCATTCGGGCCCTTGAGTCCTCCAACAGCGGGGAAGCCCTGAGGAGTGTTACTGCGACTGTCGTCCAGCCCGAGCTCCTTACGGGGAGCTTTAGGAGCCGTCAGATCCTCCGGCATCTGCTTCTGCCGCCGACGCTTCTTACTCCACAGCTCATGACAATCCTGCCAGAGAGGGAGACTAGAGAGAGAAGCAGAGATCAGATCACAGTACAGAGAAGACGACCTAAGTATTGCTTGAAAAATGAAGCAGAGGCTAAATTCAATTTACACGTTTTTTTCCAAACAATTATTTGAAATTATGAGTGGAATAAAGACGCAAAGAAATGTCAAGGACATATTTAACAAGAAAATAATAGTGTATTTATTTGTTTGTTATAATTTTGATGATTATGGCTTACAGCTTATGAAAACGTATATTATATTCCACGATATTCTAATTTTGAATTTGGGGTTTTCATAAGCTGTATTCATATCTCACTTTGCATGTAATGAGTCTATATAATGTATTAGTTTCACCTTTTAAGTTGAATTACTGAAATAAACAAACTTTTGCACAATATTCTAATTTGAGTTTCACATGTATACTAGGGAAGTACTTGATTTCGGACACAGCATTTAACTATTTATCAGCACATTAAAACTTTGTAGACATTTTACATTCACAAACAGCTGCATTACACACTGGATGAAAGCAAATATCTGAAAGAACAAACTACAGAATAAAAAGTAAACAAAACAAAATCCCTCATACTCAGGCGGAGGCATCTTGGCTGGATCCACATCTTTGAGGAAGTCACTGTTGAGAGCTTGTTCTGCAGTGCAGCGTTTGCTCGGGTCCAACGCTAACATGTGGTCAAACAGATCCAGGGCCATCAGAGGAATACTGAAACATTGAAATGAACAGTCACTGCATGACATTTTTCTCTACATTTCTAATGCTACCTTCAAATTATGTTGCAATTATCATTTCCATGAATTATGCACACATAAAAGCCTCCGCAATGGTGTTATTGCCACTGATTTCTGCATAGCAAATAGGAAGTTCATCCATTAAAGAAACATGTTAGAAGAAAGTAAGTGTTATGAAGACATTGATGAAGCTGTAAAGCTTGCCACAAAATACTAATTTATCTGGTTTATGAGGCGACAGGCTCGGGTGACAGGGACTTTTCATGAGAGTAATAAAACAGATAAAGCATCGATTACACTAATACGCATTTTATTGCATTAGCTAAAAAGCTTCCTGTCTTTATCAGCAAATGGAAAAAGATATTTCTCCAATTTATTCTGACCAGAAATCACACGAGTTCTTGGGTAAAAACTTCCCAGGAAAACATCATAAGAGTCAGATAAAGCAAACGCATATCCATATACAGTCAAACAAAAATGTATTCAGACACATTCAACATTCCTCACATTATCAGTTATTCACTTTAATTTAGAAAATGGTAATAAAATATGACAAGAACTCAAATTGATATTTGACTGGTTTTGTCCGTCCTTCTGTTGGACTCACACACATGAATTATGTTGAATATCTGTTCAATTGAACTACACAATTAGATAATACCAGTTTAGCTCAACCACGTCATGTTGTTCAGTGTGTGTGAAAAGAGCATTAGCGATTACAGAAAACACACTTCAGCAGAACATCATCAGCTCAAAGTGTCCAAATCATTTTTGGTCCCACATGTGCCACTGGTAGGGATGGGTACCGAAACCCGGTATTAAACGGGCCCCGGTACTGAATTTTGAAAGACCGCTGTATCGATAAGCTCGGACGTTATCGGTTCTGCTGTCGGTACTGGAGAAATTAAGTAAATACATGTAAGTTGGGCTACTATTTATTATTCCTATAAAGAAGTTATCTTGAACATGTTTCGCCAGCCATTTCTATATATAAGCTATATTTTAATTAAACCATAGTCTGTGATGCAAATTTGCAATTTGCAGTTCAGAAGAGAGAGAGAGAGAGAGAAGAGAGAGAGCGATCTCTCACGCAAAGCCACAGCACGCGCAACACGACAGTGAATGCTTAATGATGAGTGACAAGGAGGACAGAACTAACATTCAACGTGGTTACACTTTAGATCTGGGATATTATTCTAATATATTTTGTATTTTGGCTTCCAAAGATTATAAAAAGAAGATATTTGAGATTAAACCGTTAAAAAAACGAGACGATCTGTCCGGCTTAACTTCCTTTACTTCACAGCACTGCGGAGCGCTTTCAGTTCTTCCTAAAACCCAAACGTAACCGTCAGAATCAGCAACATCAGCGATTGTTGCAAAATGCTGTCTTCTACTGTTGCAAGATCAAAAAATGGCTATTAAAAACACAAAAACCTGCGCAAGAGACGCTGTTCACAAGGCGGTGCGCGCTCCGAAAGGGACTGCCTATACTTGGGCTCGTGCGTCCTTAACTATCAAATATACATAAAAATGTCAAAATGACCAGCTCTGAGATTAACTTAAACACAGTTTATTCACTTAAACACAATTATGTCTTAAATGGGCGTAAATAATAGGGAGAAAATGATGGTGCATCAGTCCCCATTAGATCTGCAATCGGTCTTAAAGGGGCAGCAGTCTAATAGCCTAAACCTGCTGACGATTCAGACATTAATGCAAATCAAACAACAAAAGCCAGAGAAAATCACTCACAGCTTTTGAATGAGTAACTTTAGATTTAATAAGCATTATTCTATCTATGATAAACTATACAGTGCTATTTTATATTTGAGTTTCTTTTCAGATAGAAACAATTACCTGAAAAGATGTTAGTACACCTTCCTGAAATTAAAGCACATTGTGTATAATTTGTATCTTTTAATTAATTGTATTCTTGTGTTTGTACTTGTTTTTTTCTTATGCATCCTTTTTGTATAAACAAAAAAAAGCCTGCACACTGCTGCATAACAAAAATATATTTTTCTTTGTTTTGCTTTTTCTATTTTACATTTCAAAATATAAAGTTTAATTATGTTCTTAATTCTTAAAAAAAAAAAAAAAAAACACCAAAAAGAACCGATAAGAATACCGTTAAAGTACCGGATCGATAAGCGGTATCGGTAAGAGTAGTAATACCGATAAAACCTTAACGATACCCATCCCTAGCCACTGGTAGTCGCTGTATGAAGAATATTTTGGTACGTCCCAGTTTACTTTATTTTGCTCTCCTCACTGACAGAAATGAACTATAGTGTCCTGATCACACTAGTAAACAAATATTAAAACTTATGTCTGGTGTCTGAATCATTATTGGTTTGTCTGTACATGCTATAATCCTTCACCCATTGTAGTCCTGAGCGAACAGACTGAACTGGTTTCATTTCGGATTACTCACAAGGCGAACTCTTCCCTTAGCCTTCGCCGGTACTGTTTCTTTGGTTTCATGGTGTTGAAGTAGGGCAGCTTGATCACGTCTGGCCACACGGCAGGGCAAGGGCTTCCACAGATACGACTGGATTGGACACAGGTATGAATGTTAGCGAATCTCAACCCGTTTAGTCTGGATCTCCAACAAAACTAGTGTTGTCAAAAGTACCGACTTTGGTACCAAGTTGATAATGACATTTTTAAAATGTGAAGCTTTGAGCGCTGTTGAGCGGAATCATCAACACCTCTGATTGGCCGTTGTGTTCACGAGCTCATCGGATATGACTGTGATTGGCTACATTTTTAAAATTTCAGTATTGACTTGGTTCCGGAGTCGGTACTTTAGACAAACCTAAACCAAACAGGGACGTTTTTTACATGATGTCTGTTACCTTATGAGCTCTAGCTGTGCTGGCTCCTGACTGGCCTGAAAGATGGGCTTCTTTGTGAAAAGCTCTCCCAAAATGCACCTGTGTGACATGAAAGGTTTAAGGTGAAAATTGGAGTGATTATACAATAAACAGTAGGGCTGCATGATAAATTGGAAAATGTACTTTTTCTGTTCTACAGTAGTAGTTAGCTAAAAAAAAAAAACACTAGAGGACCTTATTGACTTAATATATGTACATTTGAGTATCCATGTCACTATACATGCATGTTTGAATATATTGGTCATGAAATTTCATCATTGGTTTATGAAAACTACCTTGTGAGCAACTGAGATATATACAGTCATTTCAGTTTATGTTTGAATGCAATAATTATATCTTAAATGGCTGTTGAATATAACTGT